GCTAGAGTCCTGAAATGGAATTTAAAAACAAAACCAGAGGGAAATTCAAAGAAGTGTCACACTGATTTGATAGACAAGATACTTTGATCTAAGCAATTTTTCAGTTTGGAATTGAAAAAAGACACAAGAACTTCTACTAATTTTAACTTTTCAATGTTGGCAACAATAAAACCCTTTTGAAGAAAAGCCAAAGACATGAAGAGCATAAAATTAGCCTGTAAAACATTTGCTCAGAATAGTCGAGGGGTCTTCAGCAATTTCTCGGGCCTGAATCACTCCCAAAACTGAATAAAAGGGGGCAAAAAAGACAGGCACTAGAAGAAAAGAGATAGATGAGATGTAATTAAGAAATTTTAGGGAAGTCAATACAGAAGGGTATAGGATACAGAGAAGGGAGTATGAGCCTAGTTTTGAGATATCAAAGGTAAAAGAACTTAGACATAAAAATTAAACGCAGACTTCTGAAACATGTTCAATATTAAAGAGGATTTTTGATACACGAAGTTCAAGAACTATGGATCTGAATCCTAAAGCTCTGAATTAACAATCTGATTTCCAGCTCACTCACTGCTCAGGCTCAGAGTTGTACCTAGTCTTCACATACAATGGGAATGCCAGGGATTAACCCCTTTTCATCAGGACTTGAGGATTAACAAATGACAGCAATATGCTGGGGTACAATAAAAACAATCAAAGGACAAACAGCACTACAACTTTGACTTCTTACTCATGCTAATCTCCGTAGATAAATAGATATAAATGTCATCTTAAAAATAAAAGGTAGAAACAGAGGTATGGAAAAAACAAAAATCGCCTTCATGGAACATCTACTGTGCCATGTACCTGGCCTGCGCGCTACCTGTAACACCTCTTTAAATTGTTAGTCATGTGAAGGCTTTCTGAATGTCACAGAGCAGGCTATATAAGAAAAGAATAAGAAGAGAAACAAGTTTGTGGCTTCAGTTCACCCACCATTAGTTTGTGATGCCAAATGCAAATGACTATAGTGAAAAAGCACTTTTCAGATTTCAGCGCCTACAAGTTGAATGCTCAGTAGCATCTCTGAAATGCAAATACCAATAGCACTGGGCTCACCACTGGAAAATGTTTCTAAAATATTCTGAATTTTCAGGCAGAAAGGTGCCCAGGAATGAGATATGTATGAACAGCATTCAGGTTCCAGAAAATGCTCTCTTACTACTAGTTCTCTCCCAGCTCCTTCATCTTTAACTAAAAAGTAGGTTTTCTTGTGGTGGTGGTTGCTTTTTCCCTGGCAATTGGTATCAGAGACTGGAAATCACCTGTTCTACTGGCTACAGTCTTCTCCACATGGGTAAGAATTACTTATGTTCCTTAGTGAAGGAGCCTGAGTTTTGTTTTGTTTTGTTTGTTTGTTTGTTTGTTTTTGCTGTTGTTGCTTCTTATAATATTTTTAATAAGAAAAATGTTTTTATGTGCTCTGAGAAAACTGTATGGTGATATGCATTTGTTATGAGGATAACTGAAAAGTCTGTTCAAAAAGTGGACTTCAGGGTCTCTCTCCCTGAAAGTTGGACTGGATAGGTCTGGAGCAGGAGGGACCAAGAAGTGGTAGTTCTAACAATCACCCTCGGTGCATGCTGAATGCAGGTGGTTCTCGCCACACAATAAGAGACCCTGTTGGAATCAGTTCACAAATGGGCCTTCTAGAATATCACTTCCTAAAGGCTATCGCTTCTGTTACAAAATAACATGAAATGTCAGTACTGTGCCTAAAGGATAAAAGCATTCGACCTTAAAAACCCACAGCATTGCATATTCTACATCAAATAAATGACACTTTAGCGTAAATTTACATCTTGACAGAATCAACATTAACAGCCACTACATAAACATTTATATACTCTACAGTTAACATACTCTGGAAGCATTTTGAAACCTAACGCTGTTAAATATAACCATTCCCTCTTTTACTTCCACATTTCCTAGGTGCTAACTTTGCATTTTGCCCCGCTGTCTCTCTCGCCTAGCAGGTAAAGCTGAGAAATCTGTAGAAGGCACAGGTTAGAAAGAGTGCAGGACAGCTAGGAGCATCGCTTCTTTGCTAAAGTGCACTGGTGAAAAAGCAAGGTGTAGGAGTCTTCCAGAGAACATGACTCTGGGTAGTTCAGGGATTCCGCCATCGAGCACGTGGATCTAACTGCCTTTTCCTTCTCTCTTCGGTCCTTTCCTGGATGTGTGAGGAAGACGCAAAAGGGCACTGGTGTCAAAACAGAAGAAAGATAAGGAAAATACTACCAAACTGTAACCTAATCTTCGAGGCCAAAGATGATGACCTATACATGAAACTGGGAAAAGGTGCTTCATTTATACTGTGTTCTTTTAGGTGACAGTAAGTCAGGTGCAGACATAAGAAAAGACACAGAAGAGGCTCAGGCAAACAAAGTTTCTAATAGTTACAGGTGCCAAAAACAGGATGCACAATACACACACAGGACCATGTGGGAAAGAACCAGCATCAGCCAGGAGGCAGAAGTCGGGGTGGGGCGGCGGGCGCTCCACACTGCCTTTGTTAGAGTTTCCGCAGGAAAGGCACGGCAGGGTGTGGTAAACATTTTTGGATCGGCTAGTTTGAATAATTTCAGGGGCCCTGAGCTACAGGAGTGGTCCCTAGGTGCCTGGTACCTGGCCATGGATGATTAAAGCAGAAGAATATTGCCTCCTGCAGTATTTGGGCCAGATGAAGGAGTTCTGGCTGTAGACTGCACATCAATGGCATGCTCCAGGCTTAGCCCTTTGCTATCAATTAGAGTTGGCTAGCCTTGGAAGAGGCAGTCTTTCTCCAGCCAGAAAGATTTTTAAGGTGACAAAATACCAAATTATATAGAAAATAAAAAATACAAATAATGCAACAGAACTATCTCCTGACCTCCTGCTTATTAAGAGAAGATTTAGCAGCCTCATTCTGCACAGCTGAAATCCCTCTTGTCATGCCAAGGGAAGCAGAGAAAGCAACTTAGAAGAAATCAAATTTCCAAACCCACATATTATGTTGAATGTGACATTTTTACTCTCAGCTTATAAATAGGACATGCAAAGCTCTTATGGGCACAGTAAAGGGGGAAGATAGTAGGAAGTGTCAGCAAAGGTGGGAATGAGATGGAGGAACCATGATGAGTCTTAATTGCCTAAAAGCAACTCTCTACAACTTCTGGGGAAACTTCTAAAGAAGAAAGCATAGAAAACAATCCAGCTTCAGAAAGCATCACTGAACTTGCTTTCAGTCTAACGGAGAGCTGCAAGGCAAGGCAGGCTCACTTCCAAACAGCCATGCAAACAGATGATCATCTCTAGGAACCATACATTCGACCAGCATCAAAAAATTGGCTCCACTTCCAACAAATACATCTCCTAAACCAATTTCATGGAGGTCAACAATATGAATTCCCTTAAATTCCATGCTTAGAATAGAGAGATGCCTACAAGTGCTTAAAGTGTCCTGATTTAGGATTTATTTAAAATCAAGAATAACCAATTTTAGTTTGAGGCATACATTTTGTAATTCCCATTGGCTAGCCAATTCAATCTAATCCTCCTTAAAACCTTTATCCATTACTTTCCTCTCTCACATCCTAAAAGTGGTGAAAGATTGGGATACTTTCTTTCCTTTACAAATTGTATTTATTTCTCTGCATTTAGAATCTAGTTTTATAAAATATCAAGTCTGATAAACATGTAGAACAAGATAATTAACAATACATAATAACAACTAACACTTGCTGAGCATTTATTTGCTACTCTGTCAGTATTTCATATGCATTACCTTCTTGAATCCTTATAATTCTAGGGCCTAGGTACTATTACCATCTTCATTTTCCAATTAAGACAATCAAGGCCTTGAGAGATTAAGTAACTGGCCCAAAGTCACATGGCTACTAGGCAGCAAAATCAAAATTTAGATCCAGGTTGTCAAAGGTATAATAACTAGACTGCTAGAGACATGATTGCTTTCCAGGAACTTCTGATTTAGACTAAGAGGGCATGTTTAGTCCATGGGAGCTCCAGCAGCCTCCGACAGCCACAGTGCAGAGACATCATGGCACAGAAGGCATTCCTAATCTGCCAACACATGGAAGGGGACACCCCAGGTGGCTCTTAGCCTCTGGATCTTCTAGCACTGGGGCTAAGTGGCCACAAGTAAATGTCATAGCGAGGGTAGAAGTACTGGCTTGACAAAATGGTGTGGCTTTTTGTTTAATAAAGTGGAGAAATTAAATGGCATTATATGAGAATCATGCTGAGATTTAAGGATCTTCAGGCTAGCATCACTGATCTAGAACAGACAGCTCAAATAAGCTAAACACGTGGCTTTCATCGAAAGAATTAACCTGTTGCCAAGTAAACTGTCTCGAAGAATTGGAATGTTGTCAAACTAGCTTAACGCCACGAAATGGTACAACTTAATGAGACTCTATAAATCTTGACAAATATAACACAGAGCTTTCCTTCCAAAGACTGTGATTTCGCAAGTGGTTTGCTGTCTTCCTGGGCGCACACACAAAATGGTAGGTAAAATGCTGTGACTAAAAGCTGCCTTTTTTAAATTGACTAGAACATCTTCCACCCTTCCCTTTATGCAATTCCTTTTCAATCATTTTATTACATTTTAAAAATTAAACTTTTTAAAGTAAAAAAATCTCAAATAGCTGATAACAGTCATGCTAACAAGTCAATTTTCTTTAAACATCTATGCAACTTCCTGAGACATAACACATTCCTGAGAAGTCCTCACACTGAAATAAAACCCACCAACCAGTGGCTCAGTGCTAGACCTAAAAGAGGAGGAAGGCTAGACCGATCTTTTCAAACCAGCAAGCCTGAGGTCTATTCTCAACTGAACATTAGTAGAGTAATGAAGAAGGCAAAGAGAAGGGGAACTAGAAAGTTTTCACTGAATGGAAAAGATAAGAAATCCAAATTCAGTAAAATTTGTTCCTGAGAAAAGTGTGATAGCTACTTACCTGTCTACTGTTTCTACGTCAAAGCAAAACCTCTTCTCGATAGAGTCTGTTTTCCGCCGTGTGCAGGATTTGAGGGTGACTGACTCATCTTCTCCCTGTTGGGGACACACAGACTGTCAAGACGAAGCCAGAACAAGGGCTCTGCTCCTCTCCAGGACAAACATGCCACATAAACAGAAGTGATCATTTCATCTTCTCAAACCTGTGTTCATGGCCACGGGAGGTAAAAGATCGACCATAAACCTTCTCAGGCAAGAGCCTCATGCACCTAAAATTTGTCAACCATATTCTACTTGGAGCCAAATGTCTTTAGTACTGATAGATCATGATGGTACAGCATCAACCCACACTAGATTAAACCCTTGTTGATAGTGTTTGAAATAGGTTTAACTTATAGGTTTGATATGAGTTAAAACAATATGACCTTGACGTCTCCTCCCAAATCTGAGCTTCTGTGATCTTGGTTCAGTCATCACATCTCAGGAAAATCTTCTTGGCCAGATCAAATACCCCCAAACAGGTTTACATAGCACCATGTACCTCTCTCTCCCTCACAGCCGAAATTTTCTGTTGGTATGACAGATGATTTGAATGTCTCTGTCATTAGATCCTAAGCTCCCTGAGGGCAGAGACTGTGTCTGTTTTTGCTTATTCTTGTGTCCCCAGAGCCTAAACAGGCCCTGGAAGTGAGTAGGCAAAACTAATTCCTTTTGTATAATAAACTGCAAATGTTTAAAGTATACAATTTATGAGTTTTCATAGCTATATACATCCATGAAATCATCACCACAATCAAGCTAATGAACACTTCCATCACCCCCAAAAGTTTCCTGTTGTCCTTTTGTAATCCATTCCTCTACCCAGCTTATCTCCAGGCAAACAATGAATCTGCTTTCTGTCACTATACACTAGTTTGCATATTCTATAATTTTTTATAAATGGAATGCCCTTTTATGTCTGACTTCTTTCACTCAGCATAATTCTTTTGCGATTCATCCATTTGGTTGTGCGAATCAAGAGTTTATTTCTTATCCTTTATATTATTCCTCTGCACAAATGGAATGCAACAGTATTAACACATAGCACTAATTTACTTCCTAGAAACCTAGAAGTTTCTGTCCCTGATTTCTTCTCTTTCTGTCACGTAAGAATTGGTTAAGGTTCCTGTTTCTCCTGCCTCTCCCAACATTGTTTTTCTAAACTGGGAGGGAAATTAACAAACTTGCCTAGTTTGTTGAAATAGGAAATGTGACTGCGTATGGTAGAACTTAACCACGCACTAATAAAAGACTAACACACAAAACACAGAAGACCTAGGAAGAGACAGTTTATATTCACAAGCCTTACGTCTATTGTCTTTTACTGAATAGTTGAGATTAAGTTCCCAGATTGAGAACAGCTCCTTATGCAATGTGTAAATGATGCGTGTAAACACTCAAACACATAGGATTCTAACCATGTAATGTCTAACTATATTTCAGATTGAATGGCCATGGATTAGCTTCTGCTTTCAAAGTTTACAGGGAGGTGTCCCTGAGAAATGAGAGGAAACAGGGAATCTATATAAGATTGTCAAATATAAACAGGAAAAAGAAGATTCTGTTCCAAAGATGACTACACCATATTAGGAAAAAATCTATAATCTGTTCAATAACCAATGGTTTAAAAAAAGTGGTAAGTGCAGATAATAATCAGTTAAACAAATAAATGAAAAGTCATAATTATGACAAACACTACAGAAAAAGAGGTAGGTTGTATTACAAAAGCCTAAATTAAGGGGATTTGACCTGATTAGAAAGGTCAGCAAAGGTGTTCTTGAGCTAGAACTTGAAGGATTCACAAGAGATAAGACCAGGAGCACAGGATGGGGGATAGAGAAGAGCAGGTGAAGAAGCCCTGTGGTCCGGGCCCATGGAGCCCTGAAGGAACTAAAGGGAAGCTGGTGTGGCTAGAATCCCAGAGTGAGAGGAAAAGTGGAATGACAAAGGGCTTGAGGGAAGCAGGGGCCGGACTCTGAAGACTGTGGTCTGTATCCTGAGGGCAGTGGGAAATTAATGAAAGGTTTCAAGCAAGGGCAGGGACAGGGTCAGCTTTGGGCTGCTTTAGACCTCCTGCAGAGACCTGCCTCCTCTCAGATAGCAGAATAAAGGAAAGTCTCTTTCACTAAACACATGGTCTGGTCTCTAAGATGATGAAGCAAATCTGCCCACATTTCCTGGCCTGAAGCTAAGAGAAAAGTGGGCATAATTCAAATGAAAGGAACAGTGAAGAGAGAGAAAGGGTAGAGCAAAAGCATGTTAGGAAGAAGAAACACCCTATTATCTATGTTAAGTCTCCCTCTGGCTCCTAGGAGAGTTTTGTATAAATACATCTACAAAGACACTTGATTCTCCTTTATAAATTGAGAAAACATCGCCTCTAGACAGTTCGTCTTTGTATTTCTTCCACCCTAAAGCTGAGGAAACAGAGTCATGCCATGGAATGCTACTTATTTATGTATGTGTTATATGTTATTATTATTTTTTTTTTCTTTTTCCCCTCTATAATTCCCCTGCCTCCCATTTTCACCCCTGACCTACGGATGTTGCCATCTCCCTTTTATGAAATGGATCTCTGAAGGCGGGGCGTTTTCCCATGCACTCACTGCGTGAACCCAGGGGGTCTGGCGTACCCGGGGTATGGACCAAAGCACACCTGGGGTGTGGTCCGAGGCTCCAACTGGGGTGTGAACCCAGGACCTTCTGTGTGTAAAGCAGACGTGCTAACCACTACACTATGGAGCCACCCCCTTATTAATATAAAAATACATACAACTTAGAACAAATTATTACATATTATATATATTAATATTTTTACAGGCCTCAGAATCAGGAGCTGCGGACTCCAGAATCAAGGTTTGAGTACTGGCTCTATAACTTATTAGTTGTATGGCCTTAGAAATCATGTTCTCTGTCTGAATTTCAATTTCCTCTTTTGTAAAGGAGGATAACTGGATCAAACAAACAAGATAATATAGGACAATAAAAAGACTTAGAAAAATATAAAATGTAATATAAATATAAGGAATTATTATTAGGAAAATTGATTAATATAATATTAAGTTCCTAATACAGCACTCATTATGTGTCAGGTTCTGTTTCAAGAAGTTTATATACACTAAACCATATAAACTTAACTCAGTGAGGTGTTTACTATTAGTTCACTAAGGTCTAGAAGTCCCAAACATTCCCCCTAATTGGTCTCGACCCTTCACTTTCGAGTGCGATAAGATAGGAGTAGAGAAAATACAAGAGAGTTCTTCATGAAAGGTTTAGGAAAACTCAAGATTAAAAGCCCCAAAATAAAGACTGTGTGAGAGAATAAATCAGTGAAGCTGATTTGGAAAAAGATTATGATTCGACTCAAGGAAGACAGGCTGAGCTCTATTTCCATTTCGTGAATACCAGGGGATACCTATGAACACAGATTTTTAATATTCTTTCTAAATCTCTAATTCCTCTCTGTTTTGATGTTTTCACATCTGTTTTCCTGAGATTTATAAGTCAACTCCACCCCTAACAAGAAACACTAAAAAGGCTTTGGCTTTTTTTGCCTGATACGGGGAAGGAACAGAGATGCTGATAAACTCCTGTGTTGTGGCATAAGTAAAAAAAAAAACTTCGGTAGGAAAATTAAAAGTGGTAGAGAGCAAGGGGGTAGCACGGCGTAGGAGCTAATAGCAATAATACCAGCATCTAACATTACTGACTCGGGCAGTCTAATTTCAAAGCCAATGTTCCTAGCCTCTACACTGTAATGCACACACATGTGTAAACTCAACAAGTTGCACAAAAATGAACCACAGAGAAGACCAGGGTTGGAATAGTTATAAAGAACTGATTTGTCAACAGATTAGACACAGCTGAAAAAAATTACTTAAACTAAAGCTAGAACTAAAGCTAGAATGGAGTCCATAGATTGAAAGAGATGAAAAATATAAATATTTTTACTGAAAATATTTAAATATCTCCAGCAAGAGATAATAGAGAAAAATGGGGAGGGGGAAAAATTCAAAGTGATAATCACTGGGCATTTTCCAAAGTTACTGAAAGACACCAACCCTCAAGCCCACAAAGGCTAAAAATTCCCAAGACTGGAAAAAAAAAATTCACACATAGTACCATCATAATGTAGAATATCAAAAGAAAAAAATAAAAAGATATTAAGAGCTGCCAGAGAGAAAATACAGACCACCTAGAAAGGAATGCATTCTGACTGCAGTAAGCACAACCAGAGGAGAATCACAGCAAGGTGATCCCAACACCAGAGACCCAGAACCTGATACAGCCTGACTGACCCTTCCAGAGATGGCCACAAGAGTATCTCCATCCCACACACTATTCATACAATAAGACCCTGATACACCTCCCACCAAGAGACAGGGTCTGCACCATTTCCCATTTAAACTGAGTGGGCTTCGGTGGGCTTTTGTGACTGTTTCGATGAACAGATAGGGCAAAAAATAAGGTAATATGACTTAAGGCTAAGTCATTTAAAAGGCAATGCAATGTCTACTTTTGTTGCTGGAATACTCACTCTTGAAACCCTTAGCTGCCCCGAGGCCATCATGCTGTGAGGAAGCCCAAGCTAGCCCACAGAGAGAGACCAGACAGGTGGGCCCTGAGACTAGACAGAGAAAGACAGAAAAAGGGAAGAGAAGGGGAGAGGAGGCGATCAGGAGAAAGAGAGCTATGTCTGACCAGTCTTGAGCTGCTTCAAACCCTCATTGTTCCAGAATTGGTCACCATCTGATTGGAGCCACATGAGAAACCCTGAGCCCAAACTACCCATCCAGATGCTCACCAAATTCCTAACCTACTGAAACTGTGAGAAACACTAAAATGACTGGTATTGTTTTAAAAATTGCTAAGTTTTTGAGTGATCCATTACACAGCAATAAATAACTGGAGCATTTATTGTCAACTAGCATCCCTGTAGGTGACAAGTGAGAGTGACATGAATCAGTTTCACAGGATGAGGACATTCAAGAATTTCTAGCATCTAACATTTGACACACTTAATATTGCACATATGTGAAATACAAGAATCTTTCTTAGTTGCAATTCCTAATATAACTTAGAACTAAGAATAATTATCTTGTTTTAGTTACTTTTTAGGGTACTATGCCTCCTGAAACTATTATATAAAAATCAAGACAATTACAGTGAAACACTGGAGGTATTTCTTTATACATGCATTAACCAAGCAAATCGAGCATGAAATTTAAAAAATGAACTCACCCCCTTTCCTCCTGACTTTTGGTCAAATGGTACCATGGTGATTTGTTTGGAGTCCCGCTGATATGTACAGTAGTGCTTCACCCAAGAAGTTCCAAAGTGACCTGCAAGGTAATATTTCCCATAAAACATCTATACATGTTCACTGCATGCCAGAAAAACACACAACCCATTAACCCACAATGCTCATCTACCCCCTTAAACTGTTTCTAGGGGCAATATATTCTTCACGCCAGCTAGACCAGAATAGACAGAAATCTGATCCCACAGGCTGGAAGTGGAATGGAACCACGGCTTTCCCCAGGGAACAAGGAGAACTGCTTCCCACTAAATTCTACATCCAACGGGTCTTAAAATATAAGGGAAGTAGAGGTTCCCTGGGGAAATTAATTCACTTTCCCATCATCGATCTCCATTTGAAGTTTTCTTTCTCTCCCCTGACAGGAATAAGATGACTGAGGAAAGAATACAGAAAGGCTCCTCAAAATGCTTGTCACCATTTCCATCTGGCGCGATGACTTCATGCTTCCAACAGAGCTGCTCTGTGACTATGTGCACAGACATACAGGGACTCTGACCTACTTCTAAGCCCCTAATTTTTACTTTAGCATAACTCAAGAAAATCTGGAAAGCAGACAAGAAAAACTCAAAGACACCAGAGACATAGAATGGAAGTAACTGTAAATGCTCAAATGTAATCTAAGGAGTTTGTGACTCAAAATTATCCCTTAGGAAAGAGGGAGATGCCCTATGGTCAAATTCTGACAAAGTCTCTGTTTTTACCCAGCGGTTGGCCAATTACTTTATTTCGAACAACAAAGTACTTTTAGAGGAAGAAGGCATCATTGGCATTATTAGCCTGCAAGGACCTCAGTCAATTCTAGTCTTAGATGTCAAAGATCACATAGCAGAAATGGTGAAAAAATAATGATAACATGAAAAGAGATTTAGCAGACATTTAATAATCATTTTTCAGGGTATGACTGCCCATTGGAAGGGTTGGATGTCAGTTAGTAAACTTAAAGCAATACAGTAAGTGTCTACATTGGAACATCAAAGACAAATGAAAATACCAACCATTCTAATGATGTTTGTGGCTTAGAGAAAAAATTCCAGTGGTAGCACAACCCAAAAATTCCAAAAGTGCTGGATCTTGGATAATTTGAGCATCAAAACAAATGAGGACAGTCATGAATTTACCCTATGAATAAAATGATATCCATAAGTCCATACTGATGACAGAAAGATGGTTGGGTGGATGGATGAATAGAAAATGAGACAAGAAGGGAGGGTGGGAGGGAGAGAAGAAGAGGAGAAGGGAAGTGGCTTCCTTACATTACACTAAATGGCAACTAGCAAATGTGAAGAAAGTGGCAGAGCTGAGAAATCACCATTTTGCAACCATCACAGTAAAGATCAGTTTAGGCAGGATTGTCAGTGAATGCTAAGTCTATGGGTTGCAAAGTTTGATGGGAAGAAGGATATTTTTTGAAAATATACTATCACCAGAGAACAATTTTAAGCCCAAGCAAATTTTTAAGTAATCGCTAAATAAAATAAACACTGAAACCAAGTGTTCTAATTCCTTTCCATCAGGAAGCTTCCAGGAGTGAAGACATCTGCCTAACCAAAATCAACAGAAGGACATGAAAGAGCACAAAGCCAGCAAAAATCTGGGAGGA